CTCAGCAAAGAACAAATTGGTGACTACAAACACGAAGACATGAGGGTGGTTTCTACTCCGAAAGCCTCGTCGTTTCTTTGACCGTCACAAAATCATTTTGAGAGATGAACACTCATGTTGAATTAACTGAACATAGGGTTGGATAACATCATGAAGAATGGGTGGGCACCAAATATTTTGAGCCTTAAAATCTTTTTTCTAAAAACCATGAACCAGACCACGTTACAACCTTCAAAAGTCCTAATTGAAGCAAGGTTATTTTGAAAGCATACTTCAATGAGGTAGTGTTCCTGACTCCCATGAATGTTCTAAATAGTTATGTTGGTATCATATGTTTTTCCTATACAAAAATAAATGGTGCTTTAACTCGCAAAATTTGTGCGATATCTTTCAAAATCTTCAAGACTTACATAACTGTTGCATTAGAATTTTCATTCTCATTGTAAACTTTTTCTGACTGCAAAACATTTGTTTGATATCAAGGAAGCTCACATAAGCACCAGTGATGAGTTTATTCTTTTAAGGCTTGAAACTATGTTGAGTAATTGGCGAATCATTTTAAGAAAAAAAATCATATCCAGGGGCATGTCACCTGAAGACCGTAAGCACGAACATGTTGCTTCTCCCAGTTAATGCTTTCCCGACTTGTTTATTCTTTTGGGGCAAAATTTTAAGACTTTGTTGTGCCAACTACAGTTAATCCGGGGCAATCACATCGAGATTTGATGAATCTCTCTAAGAGTTTGAAGACACCAGAGCATAGTGAATGCCAGGTCTTTTGTAAAATCCTCTTGAGACGATTTCTCCTCATCAACCATATAGCTTGGGGCATTTTAGAAGTGAAGTTATTCGCAAGAATCGTCACGCAGCTTATCAGCAATAATCTTGGGGCATCCAAAATTAATCCCAGGGACAATCCAGATTTGTCAAGATATGTTATCAGAGGGTGGTGTTCCCAGTATCTCCAGCTAAGCAAGACTTCTTTCCAGCCGTTCAAGGGATTGTTAGTGATAGAAGACTGAACTTTGGGTTTTCCACCTGAAAATATCTTCCTCTCCAAAGAGATTTAAGCCTTGTAAAAGGACTTTGCTTCAATGATGGCTTTTGTTTTTATCTCCAGTAATGTTCCCCTTTTGTTGAGATTAGATGAGCGTCGGGTTGTACTGGGACGTCTTATCATCTTCTGTCTATCTCCCCTGTCTGTCTTGTCAACATATATATGACATTCATTCATTCGTTCACACTTGCATCATGCATGCACAGTTGTATTTGTTGATGTCTTTGAGTACGTATACCTTGGTTATGTCTATTCAAATAACATATTTGATCTTTCCAAATAGAGTGTCAACTTAAGCATAAAGTGCGCCTCTTTTCTAATTCCCCACTGAGTTAACTCTCGTGGAAGAATCTTGCTTTAGCTTTCCTTTTCCATCTCTGGATAGGATAAACCCCCATTTGAGTTGTTTCCTCATTGGGTGGATTCTTGTTTGACTATTTTCTCTCCAGTTTATTCCTGGATTGAGCTTTGTCTCTTGTGAACGACACCCTGTTGATATCTCTAGGCTGTGAAACCTAGATGGAGAGTGCATTTATTTTGCAACGTAAATACTTGGTCTCCTCAAGAAGGATTTATTCATGGTTCCCCATTGAAGATGAACTTTATTCCCCAGTAGTGTTATCACAACCTTCTTCTGGAATATCGACATGACAACAAGCGACTGACTCTTTATTTGAGCAGTTTGATTATTTCTGATTTCTCTACGACAAATGGCGGTCTCTTCATGAGTAGTTTGTCCATCCCCAATGAAATAATTGATTCTCACCTCCAGCAATATCTTCACGATATTTTATGAGTATCTTCAACAAAACAACAAGCGGCAGTCTCTTCATGGACAACTTGTATGTTATCAACACTTTTAAAAACAGCAAGCGGCAGTCTCTTCATGGACAACTTGTATGTTATCAACACTTTTAAAAACAGCAAGTGGCAGTCTCTTCATGGACAACTTGTATGTTATCAACACTTTTAAAAACAGCAAGCGGCAGTCTCTTCATGGACAACTTGTATGTTATCAACACTTTTAAAAACAGCAAGCGGCAGTCTCTTCATGGACAACTTGTATGTTATCAACACTTTTTTGGAAAATGGCAAGTGGCAGCTTCTTCATGAGCAGCTTGTACGTTAGTATCTTTGGAAGACAACAAGTGGCAGCTTATCTATTTGAGCAACTTGTGTGCTATTGTTCCCTTGAAAACAGCAAGTGGTAGCTTCTTTATGAGCAGCTTGTGGGTTATTGGCAACAAGTGGCAGACTCTTCATGAGCAGCTTGTGTGCTTTGATATTCTTTGAAAACGGCAAGTGGCAGCTTCTTTATGAGCAGCTTGTGGGTTTTTGGCAACAAGTGGCGGACTCTTCATGAGCAGCTTGTGTGCTTTAATATTCTTTGAAGACAGCAAGTGGCAGCTTCTTTAATTAAGTAGCTTGTATGTCATAGCACCTTTTTGACGACAGCAAGTGGCGGCCTCTTTATTTGAGCAACTTGTGTATCCCCAACAATAATGTCTACTCAGCAAATGGCATCCCTTTCGGAAAAGTCCCGTGGGGAAGTTTGTTATTTTATCCTTTTCAAGCGATATCTCGGTTAAAGAAGAAATGTGTTACCGTTCTTGGTAAAATTCAGAAATCAGAGATGTTTATCTCCAGCCACAGTGCTGATGTCAATCATTTTCCGGTCTCAGTGCTGATGTAAATCATTTTGTTTTCCAGTCACAGTGCTGATGTAAATCATTTCTTTTTCCAGTCTTTGTACTGATGTAAATCATCTCTTTTCCAGTCTCAACACTGATGTAAATCATTCAAGAGTCTCTCATTTGAAGTCTATGACCTTATTTCCCCAGTGGAGTTACAACCTCTTCCTCTATGGGATTACTGTATAATGTGCTTGGTTTCTCCAACATAGTCTGTCTCATATGGCGTCATTCCCCATAAAATTCAGAGCATTACATTCATATCATATCATGAACATAATCGCGGTATCTTAAGGCCAAAAATTGTGTATTCTATATTTAAGTCCCTTCAATCTCGTCGAAATGAAGATCCCAATCTTCATATCTCGTCAGATAGAAGAAACTTAAATAGGGGCAGCTGTTGTACCCCAATTTTTGACCTAAGATCCCATTTTTATTTTTGCATTTTTTTAAGATAAGTCAAGGTCACGAAATACGGTCGGTTTTAACGTCTCACATTCGAGCTTTGACTATGCGAAGATTGTCAAGTGTTTTGAACATTTTTAGCATATGTATCACTAATTTCTAACTGCATACAAAGGTGTATGTTCATGTTTTCTTTTGTGTCATGTGCAGAGACAGGTCTGAATCAAGAGCATCAGGTGTCACGCCTCAATTAAGGTTTTGAGTCTCCCAAGCCAAAAGTACGGTTGATTATGGATTCTCGAAGACTGATTCATCAAGGCACAACTGTTGCACCCTAAATTTCGCCCCTAATGTTTTAGTCGCACTTTCATATCATATTTTGTTGTTTGGTCACAATCATTAATAAATATCTTTATTCATCACATTTTGCATCATTAGTCGTATTTAAGTTGACCAGAAAAGTCAGTTTAAATCAAAGTTTGCATCGTCTTTCAGTTGTAAAATACCCGATATTTCATTTCATTCATTTTTATTTGTTTACCATTTCTTGCATTGCTCCAAGTTGTTTATATGTCAATAATAAAATATTTCGGTTTTATAGACAGACTGTTAAAAGCGATTCGACACTATGCGGGAAAATAGCGAGAAAATATTTCAAGTTTTCACCTTTTACCGATCATTTTATGAATCTGCGCTTCACGTAGATTATGACGGTATGCTCGCTTTATTTTTTCGGTACAGTTCGAAGTCTCGTTTTAACCTTAAACGTCTGTTTAGTCTGATATTTTCATTATTATTTTATTTTTGATTTTTTGACTTCTTGAATATTTTTTCTTTAATCTCTGTGACATGCAGATTATTTTAATATGTTCATTTTATTTTTTCGGATAAATTTTCGTCTGTTTTTTATCATTTTCGGTCATTTTAGCTCTTTATTTTTTATTCATAAAATATTCGAAAAAAATCATTTTTAATTGAGTTAATTGCAATACATTTAGTTTTTTTGGTTATTTTATCATTAAAGGACATTTTGGTCACAAAAATATATCATTTAGACGTTGCTTAATTTTTATTGGTTGTTGACAAAAGTTGAGGATTAATGCATATTGAATAATTTTGAACGGTTGAGATTAACTTTGAAATCAAATTCTGTTTTTTCATTTTTTTTATATAAAGCTTACTCTTTGGAACAAGACTGATATCTTTTCTCTACCAATGAAACAAAAAGCAAAAAAAGGCACTAGCAGTAAAACTCCACGCATAAGCCTTTTCTACTTACAGTAACCATCACCCTCCATCTATTCTCTACCCACCAAAAACCAACTAAAAAAAAAAACAAAAAAACAACAACAAAAGCAAATTCACAATCATACTCCCTTCACGCCTCTGTTCCACATAACCCACAAATCTCCCTCCACCTTCAATTTTAATTCCACCTAACATTTGTCCAATTTCTGCCCAGCCACAAGCGCTTCTGTTCCCAACCACCTCCGCTATCACCTCACAATCTCCCTTCAATTTCTGCCATCAACCCACAGTCCGCTCCACACCATCATAAAACTCCCCTTCACCCAGCCATCTGATTCCTCTTCATAAAAGACCCACACTACCATCCATTCAACCACTGTCACTTCCCACAAACCCAATCTTCATCAAACCTCCCTTCAAACTCCTTCTCACATTCTCAGCAACACACTATACCCCCTTCATCTCGCCTTGCAAGCTTCAACACCAACGAACTTATCATCATCACCACCATCAAACAACTTCTGTTCACTATCATCCTCGCTGTAAACATCCATTCTTCTTCATAATCAATCTCCTTACGTTGCTTTCCTCTTCATCAAATGCAATCTCAGCAACTACTCTCCGCCAGTTACCGATTTCCACAACTATCTCCATCTCATCTCTTCACACACTACCCTTCACATCACCGTAGCCTCTTACCATCGCGAACTGCCTCACAACCTTCACACTCTAACCCCCACCGCTTTCTCCATACCTTCCTCCCTATACCCAAAACCGTCACATCTCTCTCCGACTCATTCATTCAGATTCAAATTCTCTTTCACTTCAATATCACCCTTCTTGCCTTCAATTGCTTCGATCTTCTTCTTCTACGGTTATGGGATCTCCAGCTTGAAGTAGTTGGAGCTGCTTAAGTACGTGTTTCAAGGATTTGTGGTTTCAGAACTACCTTTTACTTTGATACATCTCTAATGGATTCAGAAGTGTAGAGAAATGGTCTTAAATTTTGAACTTATAAGAACATGGAGGGGACACAAGAAGATGACAACGATGATGAAGCGGAAACTTATTTACAAGAAGAACCTGTCCCCTCACGTGACCACGCTTCCGCCGCAAACAGACTTATGGTTTGATTTTTTATACTTTATGCCACGTGTTAATATATTATTGGTTGGGCAAGAGATAGAAAAGTCTAGAACCACAAAACTAGTGAGGGGCATCGTTACCTCTCTTATGTAGTTATTGTTTTCTATTTTCTTTTTCTTTTTATTATTCATTTTTATTTGTATTTGCATTAGTATATGATGAATTAAGTTTAGAGTTTTTTAGGCCCAACCATTTTTTACTACTCCCCCTCCATTTTGATGTTTTCTAATTCTCACACCAACTTTGTTAGTTATTTTTTTTATTGTTAATTAGTTAATAGTAATTCTTTATCATAATTTTAGATAAACCTTAATCGGTTAGTTTAGTTTAGAATCAACTTACCATTTTCTTTAGAATTAGTTAGTAAGTTTAGAATTTTTATCAAGCTTAGTTAGTATTTTTTTTAGAATTTTATTCGGTAATTAATAATTTTAGAATGTTTAATTTAGTTAATAACTTTAGAATGTTTGATTTAGTTTAGTTAGTAATTTTATAATTTTCATTTAGTTTAGTTATTAGGTTTTAGAATTTTAATTTAGATTTAATTCAATAATCTTAGAAATTTCAATTGTAGCTTAGAGTTAATTTTTGCTATATCTCTTTATGCTTGATTTTTTTTTTCCGTCACGTATTCTTTATTATCATTCACTTGTTATCAATTTTTGTTTATGTTTATTCCTTTTTGATTTTCTTTTCATATGTTAATAAATTTTGTGATATTTTCGACTTAGTTCATTTTAATTTTTATAGCTTATTTTACTGTTCGTTTGTTTAACTCCAAGGGAAAGAATTAAATTTGTTGACTTCATGTCATCGAACATATCTCATACGATTGCGCGAACCCCTTCATTTATTTTTTGTTTGTTTACTATTTTGCTAAACTCAAGATAATTTTCCCAAAAGACTCCATTTTTAAACTCACACCCCTTTTAAGTCAAAATTTCAACATTAGGTCGTCGTATCTTCAAAAATCTCATCCATACTGTTGTACCCCAAAATTTGCCCTCCCATATTCTTCAAGAAATTGCCAAGCCAAGTCACAAAATTCCCTAAGGGTTATGCAGTTCAACTGTCTCCTATACAGTCAAAACTAGGGTTTGTGTTCTGATCAAAGAAAGGAAGTTTTCAAATGCCCAATCAAGTCTCATATGCCTACAAATGTGGTCAAGCATCCTCATATCAAGTTTCAAGGCAGTCAGCTCAAAATTGCACAGTCAAAACCCTAGATTGCACTACAGTCAACTGTAGGGGCAAAATGGTCATTTGGCAGTCAAAAGTTCAAATTTTTGGTCAACATATCATTTTGAAGCCACAAACATCATTTGATCAATGCTTGATCATGATTCTCAAAATTTGGCTCAGAAATAATCAGAGATGCAAAAGTTACTATATTTGGACAGTTGAAAAAGTCAACTGAAATTGACCAGGGCATAACTTTCACATGGATTATCAGAAAAATTCCACCCAAAGCTCATTTTGAAGAGAAAGACATTTCCTACAACTCATATTCATACTTCAAGTCCAAGAAATGCTCTCACAAAAAGTTATCAATTTCAACATTATAGGTCATTTTCAAAAGTCAACAAAAAGGGACTTTAAGTCAAAGGCCATAACTTGAGATTGGTAAATCAAAATGACATGGGACCAAAGGCATTGGTTAGAGGACTCAAAGACCATTCCAAAATGTCCAAGAACATGTGAAAAGCTTAAAAATTGAGCAAGTTATGCCTTGTGGAAGTTGGGAAATTTTTGGAAATTTTTGAAAGTCAACTTTACTTCAAATGATCCAAAAATGCAAATGGGCCCATTTTTCTTCCAAGTTTCTTCATGCCAAGCCTATGCACGACCATTAGGCCCAAAAGGAAGTTTTTCTCCATTTTTATTTATTTATTTGGATTATTTATCATTTATAATTCATTTAATTAAATAAAATGCATAAAAAATACAAACCTAATGAAAACAAATCTTTTTATGCAGGTTTGGACTCAATATTTCGTGTAAATACAAAAGGGGAAAGATTTGAAGCTGATTGGCATGATTGAGAGCAAAATGCACATGGAAAAGATTTGGAAAAATCTTAAGAAAATCAAATATCTTAATCCATAATTGCAAGAGATTGTATCAAGTTTTGTTGACCTAATCATCTCACTACATAACCCTGACCATAAACCTAATTGCCTTGGACTCTAAGCTGCGCTCAAGAATACCATACAAGCTTGAAAATTTTCCATAAAAATTCAAATCTGAAAACATTGTTAGAGGTGGTTTTAAGCCCTAATTCTTATACCAAAAGCTTGCTCGTGGACTCCTGATCAGATTCCAATCAATAACATCAACCAAAACGCAAAGAAGTGGTAGTTAGAACTCAAACTGTAAAGCGAAATTCTTGAAATCGTGCATCATAATTTAAGCATTCTTTGCACTTTTTGTTTGTTGATCCATGTTTATTATGAAATTCTGAGACTAACCCTCATATTTAATTGCGTTTTTCTGTGCCATATGAGTTTATGCCATGACTGAATATTAGGTTTTCTTGAGCTTCAAATTGGGGGTTCTTACTAGAGGAAAAATTAGACCATCCCAGTACCACCATTACGCTCAGCTCATCCAGACGAAGAAAAGGCACTAGTCGCGATCAATTTATGATCACCATAGCGCTAGTCGCTATTTTCTGGTAGCCAACTTCAGACCACGCCCAGATAACCGTTTCCATAGGCTTTTGTTTCAGAAAAAATAAAAAAGACAATGGGGAAGACGACTCCGTGTCAAAACGTGATAGGCGCGTTTGAAAATTCGCGCCAGGCCATCCACTAACACCATGTTTTATTTATTGTATTTATCTGATATTATATGTTAAAGTAAAAGCGTTTGGTTCAATGGCACAGGTGTTAAGCTTGCATTGTCTAAGACCTGGGTTCGAGTCCCAGGTCTGTGTAAGCTTCATATTATTTTTCAAAACTAATTCCTATGCAGCACTTCCATTGCAAGATCATCATGCACGCCCAGAAATCACCATCCACGCGTCCTAAACGATCAAACCAAAGGCATAGATTCAAGGGACACGCTATACCTGGTCAAGCGCATCACATAGGATCCAGAAAGGTCAACAAATTTCCAGCTTACTGGGCCTGAATTGCTAGGCCTGAACCTCCCATTTGGGGCTACACCCCACCCTGGTTTGCCAATTTTATTTATTTTTCTTATATCTTTTTAATTATTATTTTAATTGTTATGTTTATTTTAATTATTGTTTATTTAATTTTTAATCAAAATACAAAAACATCATAAAATTAAAAAATGCCAAAAAATATAATTTTTATTTTATTATTTCCATAAATAAATTGTATGTAAATTATTTAGTTTAAATAGGTTTTTAACTTTAATTCCTTTTAATAACTAAAAATCCAAAATATAGAATTAGGTTAATTAGCAATTTTGATTCCTTTTCATATTTTGCCTTTTTTTCCACAGTAATAATTATTTATTTATTTTATTTTTATAATTAAATGTACATAAATAAATTAGATTTAAATTAGGTCAAATTTCAATATTTTCACAATAAACTTAAAAAACATTAGAACTAGGGTTTAGCATTTTATTTTTAATTTCAATAAATTCTTTTTTCTTTTAAATCTTAAAAACGCAAAAATACCAAAAACATTTAATTTTTCATTTTTTATTTTATTTCCTTATTAATTTAATATTTTTGCAAAAAAAGGGTCCAACGCCCATTGTTTTAATTATTTAATTTGCGCATTTATTTTATGTCACTTATTATAATTTTGTATCTCTCCCAAAGCACTGTAATTTTTAATTTCTCGCACTTTTACTTTTATTTTGCTTCATTTACTTTCCGCTAAATCGGGTCCGGTTTAATTTTGGCGATGTGGACCCGCGCCATTTGTAATAGCCTTAGATTTATTTTTCGCAAACTTTTTTAACTGTTAAATATGCATGCAAGAATGAATGGCCTTAATTAAAATCGAGCGTAGATCACAACGAACATGACAAGACAAATATCAATGAAAACGACACACAATTCGCACACACCACCCCTAGGGTACGCCTCACTGTTGCCTTTCGAAAGGTGATCGTCGAGTAGAGGACGTCTTAGTAAGTCCTCATGATCCGGGAACCTGGCATGAGGGTAGCTTCTAAGGTGTCTTCCCATTTCTCTGGTGATCACCATGTCCCTAAAAATCGAATTGACCCGAACACCTCCAACGGTGGTGCTACCTACCTCTCAATGGTGGGATGGCACTACTTTAAAGGACATTTACCCAGACGAATTCCTTAGGGTAGGTAGGTTCTCAAGGATACTTGCTCTAATTTCAAACAAATCAAAAGACTTTTCACATTAACACATTTTCAAAAGCTTTCAAAGCAAATTTTCAAACACTCTGACGTATGAGTCGATCTGAAATTTTTCAAAGAAACTTTTTAAAACCCACAGTTGAAAAGCAAACAAACCATTTTTGAAAACACAAGTGAGCAAGTATCTAAGAGCCCATGGATAACCATGGATAGAAAGGGTGCTAACACCTTCCCTTTCTATAATCTACCTCCCGAACCGAGAGCAATCTCTATAAGGAATTTTTCTGTGCTTTTGTCCTTTCCATTTGGAGAAAGTAAAAGACGGTGGCGACTCTTGCTTCCGCGACATTTCGCGAACCAGCGTTAAACAGTCAGTTCCAGATCCACCGATCACAGAACTGGCGACTCTGCTGGGGATTAACTTAAAGTGAGGTGTACCTTAGGGCTAGCTAAT